CTGTGCTAGAGGTAGTCCAGGTGGCCATGGCCTCCACCGGGCAACCAGGATAGGAACCAGCCGAGACCCAGGTGGCCGCTCAGGAAAAGAACCAGGGAAGAAAAGGAAGCAAAGCCGGAGGGGGGCAGCCCCACCGGGTCCAGGCCCCAGGGAGGTGGGAGAGAGTGCAGGGCTGGGCCCAGGAGCTGGGAGAGCCCCTCCAGGGGCACACGCTGCCCGCCCACCCCGAGAAAGGGGCCCACACGCCGACCTGCCGAGCAGCGGCCCCGAGGCTGCCCACTTTGGCCCCAGGGTGCCTCAAGGCTCGCTGGGAAAACTGCTGGGCCCACCTGGCCCCACCTGCTCAGGCCAGGAGCCCGGCAGAGATCCCCTGGCGGGGAGAGCCCCCTTGACCCTCAGCGTTGGGCCTCACAGCTGCCCCCAGAGCCCACACTGCTGGTGAGCGCCACGCCAGCCCGTGGAGGCCGTGGAGCCGCAGACGCCCTCCCAGGCTGAGGACCCCCGCCTCCACCCTCCTGCCCTGCGACTTACTGAGGGCGGCGGGGACTCGCGCCCAATGAGTGGGGTGTTCTCACAGCGAGGATTCTGGAAATTGGCATTCTGGCTCCTGAGGCAGAGGCGAGAGAGGCTGTGAGTGACCACTGGCCACCACGGTCCCAACTCCCAGGTGAAGGGGCACATCTGAGAGTGAGGCAGAGTCTGTGCCCACCCAGGCCTGCCCGGTCCCATCTCAGATCCCGACTGCCACAGGGTGGGCACATCTGCTCACTGGTGGAGGGGGAGGTCTTGGGAGCCTGACACAGCCACAAAGGGCTTAGAGGAGGCCCACAGGTGCCTGCCTGAGCCTGGCCCGAGCCCACCTCCTGCCTGGCCGCCTCCCCACCGTGTAGCCAAGCCCCAGGATCTGTGGCCACAGTATCCTTAAGTGCTGGACACAAGACCTCCATCCGACCACGCAGCATCTGACCCTTGCCTGGGTCCACCTGGGGGTGGGAGGGACTCACGCCAGGGCTGCCCAGCCCTGATGCAGCGCCTTCTCCTTCCCGCTGCCCTGGCCCCTGTGGAGGCATCCTGGAGCCTTGCTCTGGCCTCTCCCAAGAGCCTGGGTGCCTTGGCCCTGCCCATGCCCGCCTGGGCTCCCCACGACTCACATGTACTCGGTGACGGGGGCGTTGCTGACGGTGTGGGCTGCGGCCGGGATGCTGGTCTCACTGCCGTAGCTGCTGCCACAGCTGTACAAGCTGGGCATGTGGACACGGTAGAGGCTGTCGTGTGCCTGCCGAGGTCCCGGGGCAGCCTCCTCTTCCCCATCCTCATCAGGGCCTCTGCAGGGATGGACATCAGGCACAGGCTCTGGCCCTGGCCCAAGGGGTCTCCCCACCCTCCGCTCCGGCCTTCTGTCTTCCTCTCCACAGAGGCTGCTGCAGGGCGAGGGAGGGAGCCACAGGCCAGGCCTCTGCC